TTTTTGTTTTCTTCATAGACTCATTAATTAACGACACACCCAAAAGACCCTGTTAAAATGTTTCCTGATATGGAAGAAAATCCATGACGCACCCAGACTGAAACGGGATGAGATTTGAAAAGTTATCTTTGTCCTTCGCAAATCGATAATGACATCTCTGAACATATATGAGGGGTATAGTCAGTAAAACGTGCCCCTCTAAACAGCACTGCTAGATTGTGTGGTTAGGTAACGACGCAAACTGAATATATATCCGCATGCTATGTAGCGTAATGCTTCAAAACTAGCATTGTTTCAGGTCGGCTTGTTATTCGCCCTGCAGCTGCTCAGTGGCGTTAAAATACCGTGTAAAAACTAAAAACTCGTAACGTCGCAGCACGCACTTAAACTAACGATATACTGGAAAGCAGCGGATTTACACTTGCTATCTTAGCGCTGAGCTAATTCAGCTACACGAGTAAACATAGCCGTCATATTCAGGAAAACTTGACACTTAACTAAACCCGAACTGTTTTCATTTGTTCTATGAAATCGCTACGTTTAATGTATATTTACCTGTAACGCAGCAAGCTTTGTAAAGTTGACCGCAGGATATTTGGGGAGGCTTGCGTGACTTCCACTAACTCAGCTGGTAGGAGGAGCTCTTCAACACGCCCCAACTGACGACCACACGTCGGAGGAAGGAGGAGGGCTGGTGGTTTATTTCCGCCTGTGCTCCGGGCTCTTTACCAAATTCAGTATGATGAAATACAAATGATTTCTGTCTTTATACTACTCGGTGATACTAACAGCGTTTTATGACGTACCTTCAAATCGTTGTCTTGTGTTTGTTATCAGACACGCATAATGTCATAATGAAAATACCACTTCCCTTGTATTAGCTACTTAACGATTTGTATTTACAAAGAAACACATTTTCCATAAATTAGCTCTGTTTGTATACTCTTGTTGATGGACTTTAGATCTCAGTCAAAAATAATTCAAGACACTGAGCATCAACGCAAAGACAGAAACTATGATACATTAATGCCAGGATTTTTTTCCCCTGCAAAGCCCTAACTGTAAAATCACATGATCAACATTGCCGCTTCTCATTTGTGAAGTGGGTGGGGCAGGAATCGAAAAAGAAGGTTTACCTTGAAAAGGCGGAAGGAGTATTTTTTTTTTACAAGGTCTAAATACTTCCAACAGATTGTTGTAATTATTGTTGTATGTGGTTCCCAAACTGCAGTTTGGAGGACTGGTATTTGTGACCTTCTAAACCCATACACCCAGAGCTCCTGCTCATGAAACTGGAACACTTACTTGGTTGTAGTGGTTGCTAATGTAGTAATCCACTTCCCATTCTGAGTCATGACATGGCACATATAGTACACCTAAAAAAGGCGTGTACTGTGAAAACACAGTGATAGAAGCAGCCATGTCATGCTCACCTACTTTAACAGGTAAGGGAACTGGTGAGGCAGTGAGGAAAGGCAGCTTTTGAGGTCTGGGCCCTTGTAATTGTATTCTTTTAAAAACAAAACAGTAAAACTTGGCACAAATAATTATCTGACAATCTGGATGGCATTTACTTTGAAAAGACTACGGGATTTCTACAAGGTTATGGCTGGACCCACAGTGCCCCTCACTGGATTGTGTTTGGGGGGAATGTTGACCCATGACTCAGAATTGATAAATGGTTGGTTTAGGCACCAGGACTGAATCAGATATACAGTAGGGTTAGGGCCATTGAGTAAGTTTTTTTCTTTGTGCTGCTTTCATTTCAAGTGAAGAGATAATTCTGTATTTTGTTATTTTTGTTTTATTTCAAACCAGCTATGGCAAGTAGAGAGACTCTAAATCTTAAATCTATGACTGGAAAAGCGAGCGAGCTGGTTGATATGATGGACAAAACAAAGGTAGATCTATTGTGTGTGCAGAACACTGGGTGAAAGGGAAGCAAGGCCATATAGGAGCTAGATTCAAAATGATCTGCCATGGTGTACATTGGAAGGAAAATGGAGTTGGGAAATAATGAAGAAAGAGTATGGGAATAGTATTGTGGAGGTCGGGAGATAGATAGGATGGAAATGGTTGCGGTGAACAGATAAGTATTACATAAATTATGCAAACACATATTAGACAATCGTAGTAAATACAAAATGCAGGTTTTTTTCATTGATCTGAAACATTTAATCGGAAAAGGCAAAGGGAATGATTAAATGGTGGAAGTTGAAGAAAGAATGAGTTCTAGGAGGAGATGCCAAAGGCAACCTGTTAATTGTGAGTGCACAGCACTTAGTACTTAAAAAATACTTAAAGCTTGATTTTTCTGAGTGAGCAATAGTAACAATACTATAATTAGTTAAACTGATATAAACTTTTC